GGTACGCGAGGAAGAAGAAGTTGTGGCAGCCAGTGATACGTTCATTTGAATTCTCGCGCGCTTAACCACTACGCGTTGGTTTCTTCTTTTTGTTATTTGTTTACTATAATATATTAATTAAAACTTAGTGGCTCAGCTGGCAGGTGTACATGCTTGTGACTCTCATGACCTGGGTTCAAGTCCCAGGTCTTGCATATTTCGCTATTATTTTTCAATCCAATTTCCTATGCAGCGTCAGTAGTGATGTACACCATACACCATTATGATCCAAACGTCCACGCGTCCCACCAATTCAAATCAAAGGCGTGGATGTAAGGAATATGCTATACCCAGGTCAACGCGTTTGCACACAACCTGGAAAAGTCAATGGACCAAAACGTTAATGGGCCAGCATTCCAGGCCTGTACCTCCCATTTGGGGCTACCCCCCTCCCTGGTTTGCATTTTTTTCTATTTTTCTTCTTACATTTTATTTTTGTTATTTCATTTATTTTATTTGTTTTAATTAATTATTTCTTTACAAAATACAAAAACATCATAAATTCAGAAAAAGACAAAAATTTAATAATTATTTTATTTTAACTATTTTTTTTAATAAATTAATATATAAATATTTAGTTTTAATTAGGTTGCCATTTTAATTCCTTTTAATAACTAAAAATCCAAAAAATATAGAATTAGGTTAATTAATAATTTTTATACCTTTTAAATTTTCCTTTTTTTTTATCACAATATCATTTATTTATTTATTTTATTTTTATAATTAAATGTACATAAGTAAAAATTAGGGTTTAAATTAGGATAAAACTTAATATTTTCACAATAAACTTAAAAAACATTAGAATTAGGGTTTGACGCTTCATTTTAATTTTAATTAATTATTATTTCCATTACATCATAAAAAAACAAAATACCAAAAACATTTAACTTTAATTTTTAATTCCTCATTAATTTTGCAAAAGGGTCCAACGCCCATATTTTTAATTACTTTAATTTCGCGCATTTATTTTATGTCGTTTATTATGATTATGTAATTGTCCCAAAGCGTTGTAATTTTAACTTTTCGCACTTTTATTCGCTTTCTTTATTTTCAGTCAAATCGGGTCCGGTTTAATTTTGGCGATGTGGACCCGCGCCATTTGTAATAGTTTAGATTTATTTTCCCGCAAATATTAACTGTTAACAAAACATGCAAGAATGAATGGACATAATAAAATCAAGCGTAGAACACAAATAAACATGACAAGACAAATATCTGAAAACGACACACGAATCGCACACACCACCCCTAGGGTACGCCTCACTGTTGCCTTGCCTCGAAAGGTGGTCGTCGAGTAGAGGATGTCTTAGTAAGTCCTCATGATCTGGGAACCTGGCATGAGGGTAGCTTCTAAGGTGTCTTCCCATTGCTCTGGTGATCACCATGTCCCTAAAACTCGAATTGACCCGAACACCTCCAACGGTGGTGCTACCTACCTCTCAATGGTGGGATGGCACTACCTAAAGGACAATTACACAGCTTTATTCCTTAGGGTAGGTAGATTCTCAAGGATACTTGCTCTAATCTCAAAACAAACTCAAAAAGACTTTTCACACCAACACATTTTCAAAAGCTTTCAAAGCAAATTTTTCAAACACTCTGACGTACGAGTCGAACTGAAATTTTTCAAAGAAACTTTTTTTTAAACCCACATTGAAAAGCAAGCAAACATTTTTTGAAAACACATTGAGCAAGTATCTAAGAGCCCATGGATAACCATGGATAGAAAGGGTGCTAACACCTTCCCTTTCTATAACCTACCTCCCGAACCGAGAACAATCTCTTTAAGGAATTTTTCTGTGCTTTTGTCCTTTCCATTTGGAGAAAATAAAAGACGGTGGCGACTCTTGCTTACCGCGACATTTCGCGAACCAGCGTTAAACAGTCAGTTCCAGATCCACCGATCACATCGTGCTCCAACAATTGGTATCTAGAGCTCTGGTTTGATTCACAGGGAAACACGAGTGTACGTGAGGTGTGTGTAATTAATTTATTTTTTTGAATTCGCGTTGAATTCACGATCAAAATCATAATAGAATTGAATTTCTTGATTTTGTAGGATCGAGAAACATGAGTGTTTTGGTGAGACATGTTTATGTTTCAGTGTACAAGAACGAAGATGAATAGTGGAAACTGTTTGAATACAAAAGTGTTTGATGGAAAGATTTGGAATTGGTGGATGATTAAAATGAGTGTGTTATTCAGTGCTCAAGATGTTTTTGATCTTGTCACCGACGGTTATATTTCGATTGCAGAAGATGCGACAGAGAAACATAAAAACGCATAAATAGATACGAGAAAGTAAGATCAAAAAATGTTGTTCTACATCCATCAGTGTGTGGATGTGAATGTGTTTGAGAAAATCATTGATTCAACGGCGGCGGAGGCTACATGGGATATACTAACTCAGTTCTACGACGACAATACATCAGTGAAGAAGGTGAAGCTTTAGTCTCTACGTAAACAGTATGAAAATCTCAACATGAAGAACAATGAGAAGGTACCTTATTACATCTCTAGAGTAATTTTAATCACAAATGAGATGAAATCATATGGAGAAACTCTTTCTGACCAAGTAATCATTGAGAAGGTATTGAGATCGCTTACTCCTCAATTTAATCACATTAATGTAGCAATTTAATATTCTAAAAATCTGAGCACTATGAGAATTTAAGAGCTGCAAAGTAGTCTAAAGGCGCAAGATTCACATCTGACTGAGAGAACATTTGAAAGAGAGGTAGAACAGACTCTGAAATCTTCTTTTGTTAAGAAGGACCAGAAGAAGTCTTGGTCAGAGGCCAAGAAAAGACATAGTGGTACTCAGAAGTCAGAAGCCTTCTACTCTGATGAGTATTAACATTAGAAAGGAAATGAGAAGTTTGACAAGAGAATGGTTCAGTGTTACAATTGTAATAGGTTTGGCAACTTTGATAAGGATTGTTGGTCAAACAAGGAAAGGAAGTCAGAAGAAGCAAACATAATCAGAGGAGATTCTGATGATAAACATGTGCTATTGATGGCTTATGAATCCGATGATGAAATTGTGTGATTGAAGATTTCTGATTCTGAAGGAGACTCATAATATGAGTCAGAGTAAGAAGATGACTCTGAATCTGAAGCAACTCTGAATGTTCAGAAGATGAGTTAGAACTAGATGATGATTCTGAAGATGAAGTCAGAATCTCAGAGTTAGAAGATGATTCTGAATCTAAAGGGGATTTTATTTCTGAAGATGAGTCACAATATGAAGGTTCTAAAGATGAGTCAGAGTCTGAAAGTGACTCTGAAGATGAAGAAGACTCTGAAGGTGATTCAGACTCTGAAGATAAATTCTAAATAAGTTTAGAGGCCACAAAGAATCAGACAAATACCAATAAGATTTTTAGAGTTTGACATGTTGTAAGATACTGAAGTAAACTCTGAGAGAGAAATCGTTTAGTGTACCATGTTAGTAGACTCTGAACCAGTTAGTACTGAAGAAGCTCTCAAGAAGAAAGTGTGACTGAAGGTCATGGAAAAAGAACTCAGGGCTATAGAAAAAAACAAGACTTAGGAGTTGAATGAGATTCTAAAGGAGAAGAAAATCATCAGCGTCATATGGGTTTTCAAGGTAAAGTTAAAGCTAGATGAATCAATTTCCAAACACAAAGCAAAGTTAGTAGCAAGAGGATTTCTACAAAAACCTATATTAGATTACTTTGAAGTGTTTGCGCCTGTAGCTAGACATGAAACAATCAAATTGATGATTGCTATAACTTATAATAAAAATTAACCTCTGATGCATTTTAATGTGAAATGTGCATTTATGAACGGTCTACTACAAAAAGAGGTATATGTGTCACAACCTCCTAAATTTGTGAAGATTGATTCATTTTTTAAGCTGTAAGGATTCAGAAAGTGAGATGGAATATTCCATTTATGTTCAACATACGTCTAAAAGCAATATGATTCTGGTGTGTCTCTATGTTGACATATTGCTAACAAAAAATTATATTGATGAGATAATCAAGTTCAAGAAGATACTGATGAATGAGTTTGAAATGATTGATCTGAAAAATATGATATATTTTCTAAAAGTGGAGATTTTGTACTCTAAAAAGGGTATCATTTTGCATCAGCTGAAGCATGAAGTTGAGATTCTGAAGAGATTTGAGTTAACAAATTGAAATACTGCAATCAAACCTGCTAAGATGAATCACAAGCTAGATTTGGATGTTGAACGTGACGATGTAGATGCTACAACTTTTAAACAGTTAGTTGGCTCATTGGAATATGTCTATAACACCATACCTGACATTTGCTATGTGGTTGGAATGGTGTGTAAGTTTATGAACAAACTGAATGGTCACATTATCAAACTACTGTCAGAATATTGAGGTACATTAAACGAACTCTAAAGTATAGAGTGTTGTTTCATTCTGCTGTTAAATTTGACTCAGAACTGATATACTATTCAGACTCTGATTAGTGTGGAGACAGAGTTGACAGAAGAACTTTTAAATATTTTTTTCATGTACAATGGATACATGCTCCCTAAAGTATTTAGTTTTGATTCAGAAAAAAAGTAACACTAACTTAAAAGGAATAATTTTCTGTCAGTTTCTAACTGAATCAGAATCAGAGCAGTCTTCTAAATTAGTGTTACTTTTTTCCTGAATCAAAACTAAATACTTTAAGGAGCATGTATCCATTGTATTCACATGGTCATAAAATTTGACCCTAAATACGGCCAAAAATGTATTTATAACTCTACTTGATTTTTTCTTTTTTCCTAACTCATCCCAGTGCACTTTTGAACCTGAATAAAAAGATCATGACATACCAAACTAAAACTTAACATTATTTCATATTTTCATATCACAAACATTACAGTAGTACATAATCAATATAACATGACTCATACCACATCTCACTCTTACATACAAAACTTACACTGTTGAGAATCACTTGTAATGACTTAATTATTCAATAGAGTTATCACATGACACTTTGGAAGTTACTGATCTATGTCTCTTTGTCTTCACTTTCTTACTCTTCCTACTTTTGGCTAATTTCATCTCCAAATCTTTCACTCTCCCAGTTAAATTTGATATTACACTTAACTGTTCATTCCCAGCTTGAAGCAACTCCTTCATCATCTTCCTTAGCTTCTCATTCTCTTCCAATAACACCATGTTACCATTCAACTCTGCATTATCCTTGGTAACAGATAAATCTACAGATGGTTCAGTTTCCTCCTTGGCCCATGTTTCTGTGTTTTTATCAACACCACTGTTTGTTTTTACAGAAACATTGCCTTGAACATCAAGATGTGTTTCTTGCTGTGCAAGCTTCTCTTTTGGTTCATTTTCATTCAACATGGTGTTTGCTACATCATTTTGTTCTTCATTCTCAAGAGTTAGTAAATTAGTATCATTTTGCACCCCTTCTTTTTCTTCAACCAGTGGCTGCTCTAGTTCAGTATCTTTTTCTCTATATTCGGATCTTTCTTTTTCAGATTTCTCTGAATTCTCATCAAGCACTTCTACTGGGAGTTCTTTAACTAACACCTGATTTTCGGCAGTATTAGTCTCTTCCGCGAACACTCCCATTTGAAGCTCCTTCATTGCATCCATATCAGAATCTAACCTTTCACTTGCATAATCCTCAATGGTATCTTCATCAATAACTCCCACAGGAAGTTCTTTAAATGCATTCATATTGAGTTTATCAACCTCAATAGGAATGCCAATGAGTTCCGATGCCATTTCCTCGTCCATTTTATCGGAAAAATTACTTGTGGAATCTATCGCGTCAACAGAAACAACTGGGCTGATATCCAGATTAACTGATCCAGAACCAACATAGGACTGAGATTCATTTACACCTTCCACATCCATCATGCAGAACTGATCCTGAGGTTTTCCATCACTGATACCTTCAGATGAATCTTTTTGTGATGCCATTTTCTCTTCTTGATGCTCTTGGTTACGTTCTCCATTTTGAACATTCTGGGAAGATATTTCAAGGTGTTTTTTAGCATCTAACTCCTGCATCTCCTGCTGAGAAGGACTCTTCATCGCTATAGAATCAAGCTTTTCCTGCAAAGTCACAAGCTCTCTTGCCAGTGACTTTCTGATTTCCCTCAAACTTGGATGCAAACCCTGAAAATATATGTTGATTAGAAGCTAGTATAATATTGAAGCAGGAACAGAAACCACATCAAACATTATCTATGATAGACCAGATAAATCTATGCCAACTAGAGTGAACCTGTTAGCTATCACATACCTGTATAGTATCCAACTTCAGCAATAGTCTCATTATGATCTCTCCAATGGCAAGTTTCTCCTTGTCATCAATTTGAAGATTAGAAGAACCTTCAAAGGCCTCAATACGATCCTTAACATAAGTCACCTCTTTACTGACTTCAGCTATCTGCCTCAGTTTCTTTATAGGATCTGATTTTCTTACTAGATAACCGCGATAAACAGTCTGTATCACAACAGCAGCATCCGCATTCGACAGAACTCGTTTTTCTTTTTTACCACCTTCGTGAATTTTTGAGTTTGCAGCCATGTTTTCGTTAGTCTTGTTTTGGGATACCTGAATAGGTGAACACAGCTCAGTCTTGTCTGTCATGCTGTCCAAAGGAGTGTTGCTTGTTTCACAAGCAATTGCTTTGGAACGTTCCCTTAAAGCAGGTGGACTCAATGACCTTGATTTCCCATTGACATTTTTCTTCCTTGGTAATGGATCAACTCTTAGACAAACAGGAGGCAACTTAGATCCCTTAGTTGGAGAAGTTGGAGAAGTTGACCGTTGTTTGTTGACCGATTGCGAGTCTTTTATTGCTACATTTTCTTCAGGGACGTTCATTTCTCTCTTTTCACTTTCCATGGAGTTGTTTTTGACATGATTCGACTCAATCTGCTTCACAGGAATATTTCTTTGGTTAATCACTTTCTCTGTAACATCAAAAGCACTTCTACCTCTGGACTCAACACCATTTGAATTAGCCCCTTTTGTAACACCTTCATCAGCACAAGACTTCACAGGAACAGATTTGAATGTATGAGGCACCTCCTCAACACCTTCCTTAGCTGAACAGCTTTTCTGATTGTTTGTCCTTCCACCACCCTCTTGATTATTGTAAGAGGGAAACCAAATAAATGGAAACGGAAATTCAGATCTCTTTTGTTGTTCACTCTGATGCTTTTGATCAGTTTTTCCGTTTCCATACTCCATCACATTGTCATCAGCTTCCTTCTTAATACTTCTTATCCCATCTCCATCGCAAAACATGTTCGGCGCATCCTTTACATCAAATGGTAACCATCCATTCCATAATCTCGGCTCAACTGCTCGCTGAGCATCCGCATTGAAATCCTCCTCCACCCCAGTAGGAACTTTCATTTGTCTGTTACCATTGTACTCTGGTGGAGTCCAAACCAAAGGGTATGAAAAATTTCTAAACTCGATACCATCATTCTCTTTTTTACCAAGATTAGGTTTTCTTTCTTCAATACTCACAGTTCTATCTTCCTTTTGGTTGCATGAATGATTAGGACAACCGCAACAACGATGATCCCTTGACATACATTTATCATATTCATATCTCGGAACCTCCATACCATAATGTGATTGTGGAGAATAAGGACCAAAGAAAGAAGGACCACCACCGGGATAAAACATTGGTGATGAAGAAGGAACATGAGGATAACAAGGTACGTGACTATAGCAGAAATGTGGTGCATAACTGCTAGCATAAGGCCAAGGTTGTTCATAAGAAAAGGGTGATTTGGCCATTTGTGGGGGAACAGATTCCATTGCGGGATGATAGTAAAGAGGAAATGGTACTTGATTTTTGTGAAATGGGTATGAATCCATGTTTCTGTATGCAGGAATCATGTTTACAAACTTCGAAACTTGCTTAATCACAAACTCTGCATATTCCAAAAAAAAAAAAACACCAGTAAGAACAAGATTGATATAATGGCTGGAATTTCAACTCTCAAAGATGAATAACTGTTCTATGAAGCCAATAAGAAAGAACATGTCAGCAAGGAAAAGAATGACTTACATAAACAAAACAAGTAAAGAAAAATCCAGCCACCAGGTTCCGCGCAATCCAAATGAAAATTTATCGAAGCAAAATCGAACCACAAACCCGAGAATATAGAGTAAAAGTGTTGTTTGTTTTGCTGTAGGGGAAGAAAGGTTGAAGTTTTTGTATTTTTTGAGGAATGAAATGTGTAAGAAAACATGTTGGTTATTTATATGGGAAAATTATGACTAATTAAGGAAAGAAAGGTGAGACAGAAATGTTTGTGTTCGAGATGCTTCGCGCGTTGTGTAGTTGTATCGATGATGAATATGATGTCTCTAGATTCTTCGTAACACGTGTTGTTGGCCTACATATCTGGCCACGTGTTAAATACAATTATACTTTTCAAAGGTAAAATTCCATCACACTCTCCATCTCTCTTTTCAAGAATTTAACAAATTTACATGTTTGTTTTTTGATTTATATAGGGGTGAAAATAGGTCATACGATAAAAGAGACATACGGTTTAGTTTATATAAGTTCAAGTTACGGTCTTATTTACATATATTCAGGCCACGACCTAGTTTATATAGACTTAGGTTAGGTCTAGATTTTTTAATAAATTTATTTAGTTAAAGACTAAGTCTCAAGTCATGAAAAATGTTTTATAGACCTAATAGGTCAATCTATATAAATAAATATGTATAATTTTTTTATTATCATTATGTTATGTTATGTTTTGTACTTTAAATCAAAATATATAAATAAAATTTGATTATTTTGAAAAATTTATAAAAATAAGATGAAAATACCTTTCAATGTAATCTTGTCATTTACCATTTTTCAAACACTGTAATAATCCATGGGGTTATGCTTTTTACATACTACCATTCTATCAATAATATCCTGATTTTTGTCAATTAATTTCAATTCTTATATATTTGTTTCTTTTGCAAAGTATCATTTATGTTCGATGATAACTTTTGAATCAAAGGTTTAATAATAAATATGTTTTTGAAAATCACAAAACATTTTCTTTGACTTTTGAATAAGATAAAAGCAATGTCTGCAGTTGTTCAAAGTTGGTCAAGTCTCGAAGTGGGAAACTCAATTCTCCAAGTACAAGTAGTTCATGAGAATTCTCTTGGGAATCTCCTTGATTTGATAATCCTGATTCTCCAACAATTTTTGGTTGGGTAGTGGTTTTCCTCCAGCCAGTTTATTGTTGCAGTGTTGATTTAGCTTCTCCCATAATAAAACCAATAAAAGGCTCTACGCTCTTAGAGGACGGTTGATTTCTGAAGATTTGTCTTAAGTTTCCCCAAGGAATCTTTTTGTCTCTAGAGAAGGATCCTTTGTCTTTGAAGATATTATGGTAGACAAGCTTGGTGACAGGGTCTCCATCTAGCTGAGATTTGGCTAAGTACCTAGTTCCTTGATATTCTAGTTTCCCAATTTTTTCAGCGTGTTATTTTGTCAGCATAAACATAACATTGCGTACATTTAAAACATCCATAAAGTCATTATTATGCATAGCCGAAGTAATATTCTTGCTCATTCGAATTTCCTTATGTCTGGTAGGAGTTGCCTGTTGGTATCTTGGTGTCTCTAAATCCACTTTCCTGGTGGTACATTTCCTCAAAGAGAGTTTATTTTTTATCTCCCCATTGAGATTGTGCCTAATGGAAGAATTGTGTTTCAGTTTTCCTTCCCGGCTCATTGTCTGGATGGAATAAATCCTCATTAGAGTTCATTCCTCATTGAGTAGATTTCTGTTTGGATGTTTCTTTCCAATTTGTTTCTAGATTCAACTTTGGTCCCCTGCAGCAACTTTTTATTGATCTAGGCTGGAAACTGAGATGGCGAAGAAGGTATGCTTTATACCTTTTTGAAGTTTTATTTTCCTAATAGAGAAGACTTGTTCAATGGATGAAGAATCTTATTCCCCATTAGTTATCGCTCTAGCAATCTCTCTGAGATTTTATGCAACAACAAGTGGCAATATCTTTATTTGAGAAGCTTGTTTGTTCCTGTCATATCAAATCCTTATTTCTGCAGCAAATGACAAAATCTTTAGTCAATCCCCTATAGAGAAGTTTGTTGTGATTCAACAAATCAAAGTTAACATAGGTTCATTTTCTAACAGGTTGATATCTCTTTATTTGAGAAGCCTGTTATGGTCCTCGGTCAGAGTTAAGACTCAAATCTCCAACAAGTGAAGATCACTTCAGGTTGAGGACCAGAAGTCAAAGAAAGCTTGTTTGTTACTCTTTTCATGTGGAATATTTAGTTAAAGAAGAAATTGAGACTTGTTCCTGGTGGAAGACCAGAAGTCATGGGAGGTTTTTACCATTTCCAAGTAGAATACTTGGCTAAAGAAGAAACTGAGACTCATTCCTTGTAGAAGACAGGAAGTCAAGGGAAGTTTTTACCTTTTCCAAGTGGAATACATGGTTAAAGAAGAAGCTGAGACCCGTTCTAGGTGGAAGACTAGAAGTCATGGGAGGTTTGTTACCCTTTCTAGGTGGAATACTTGGTTAAATAAGAAGTTGAGAGTCGTTCCTGGTAGAAGACCAGAAGTCATGGGAGGTTTATTACCCTTTCCAGGTGAAATACTTGGTTAAAGAAGAAACTGAGACCCGTTCCTGGTGGAAGAATGAAATCATGGAAAGTTTGTTACCCTTTCTAAGTTGAATACTTGGTTAAAGAAGAAGTTGAGACTCGTTCCTGGTTGAAGACCAGAATTCATGGGAAGTTTGTTATCATTTCCAAGTATAAGACTGAAAGTTATGGGAAACTTATTATCAATTCAAATATTGTCACTACCTTCATCTACGAGTTGTTAGTTACCATTATCTATGAGTCAGTATTACCTGTTTCTTTACTGTCATCTATCAATCGGTATTATCCTGTCTATTTCCTTCAATTATGAGTTGATAGTATATTTAAATCTTGTCACAACCTTCATCTATGAGTTGGTAATATATCATCATCTATGAGTCGATATTACTTGTTTCTTTACAGTTATCTATGAGTCAGTATTATCTTGTTTACTACATTCAACTATGAGTTAGTAGTATGTACAAATCATTTCACTACCTTCAGCTATGAGTTAATAATGGTTTTCCTGCTGATTAATAAAGGTTTATTTACCAGCAAGTTCAACCTTCCTTTTTCCTACTGCATATTCCCCAATGGGGTCTTCCATTATGGGATAATGTCTCTTTCACCTCTGGTTGTGCTTTGAGTTATTCCTTAGAATATGCCCTAAGTGTCGTGTCATTCCCCAGTGAGTTATATCTTCTTGTCGGAATCCCTTTAAGTTTTTCTCCAACAAAATCAGAGTCCTAGTTCATTTATGCAGAGTTTGTCTCCCGCAGTATATTCCTCGTGGAGTCTGATCATTTGCATTTATATCATAATAATCATGCGACATCTTAGGACTAAATAATCGGGTCTTCTGTATTTAAGTATCTTTAATTCTGTTGATACGAAGAACTTTGATCTTCATATCTCCGGATAGAAGAAAGTTAAATAGGGGTAGTTGCCATACCCTAATTTTTACCCCTAAGATTCCACCTACCATATCATTTGCATTCAACCCAAGATCACATACATGCCATCCTCCTAACCTTTACCCCTTTTGGTTCAACCTTTGTGGGAAATCACCAAACACCCTTTGTGTTTCTTTTTGCATTTATTTCTTGTTTACTTTTTTCCACTTTGCTAACCTTATTCTAAATACAAAAATATGTGTTGCTTTCTTTTCTTATTGTATAAGGTAGGGACTTGCAATCAAAAGATCAAGCCTGGTTTCTAAATTTAGGTTTTGGTTCCCAAGGTCAAAGTTTGATCAACAAGTGGTTCACAAGAGCTTTTACTTCAAGGCTTGACCTATAATCTTAGGTCATATTCATGTCAAGCTTCATTCAACTTCATTTGGTCAAGAAAAGTTCAAGTTTGGTGCATGATTTCAAAGTTGATTCAAGAATGGTTCATGTGTTTATTTCCACGCCATATCTATCTAATTCTAAAGAAATTATCAATATTATTAAAAGGACAATCAAGATTTATTAATTTGGTATCCAAGTATTCGTTATTGAGCCTTTTGATGCTAGAAAATCTCAAAAATCACAAGTTGGTACATGTTTAGTTGACCAAAAATCAAGTAAGGCATGTCACTTGGTCCAAATACCATAACTCTCTCATTTCTCAACATTTTTTTAGTCTAGTCCGAGTCAAATGTCACATTTGAACTCCTCTACAACCTTGTTTCAAGGGTCAAATATCAAGTTTTCCTCTAGGTGCCACAATTTTGGAATTGGACAATATACCCACGTGTGCATAAAAGCTGGTCCAAAACTTGGTTTGACCTATTGCCTGACCTAGAATTCAAGTCACAACCTGAACTTGTCAATCATGCCATTTTCAAATCAAACATCCTTTTGATGTGATTCTTTTCTCATTTGATTCTTCATCATAAGGAGATCATTTGGCACGAAGACATCTCAAAACGCACAAGTGAATCTCATTTGGCCTAAGTTCTACCATGGTGCCACAGTCTCTGCATTTTTGCGCATGACCTGTAATTAGAAATCATCAAATTTACACTTGGGACCCCCAACACATGTGCAAACTTATTTTCCCTTGAAAAACTCATAGAGTGGAGTGCAAAACGACCTGATTTCATGCAAGAGTTACACATTTCACCCTCATTCTCACACAGATTACAAAACAAGGAATTCCAACTTGGCTCACACGTTCTAGATCTGAATTTGCACATACTGTAGCGGTAGAAATGTTCAAGACTAAGCCATTGGATTTACTAGACTTTATACAAATCAAAATAAAAATCGCCACCGCG